TCATTAACAAAGGTCCTGACAAATGTGACGTGGGATTATGGCATATTTATCTGAACAGGAAGGCAGAGCCTGGTTCAGCTCCTCTGCTAGCCTCCACAGTGACCGGGAAAAGAGGAAGAGGATGAGGGAAGCCACATACGGACTATAAAAATGTGTGTATAGGAACCCCTTTTCCTCTGGCTGCCCTTCTTTCAGCTGGCCTTGGAGAAGCTGATGAGCCCTTTTGATTCCTCTGTTGCTCTCAGATACTGAGCTGAAATCATGACAAGCAGGTGTTCCCAGATGTTGCTTAGAGAGTCATAGGTATCTGCTGCTTTTTCTGAGTAGGATTAAAGTCAGTGGGGAACAGATACAGGCTATCTGTAGGCACCCAAATTTGTGGCACATGATCTTCTCCAACAGGTAAGGAGGAACAGTGTGCAAGTGGGTAAAGAAACACAGACCCACCAGGATCCCATTTGCCTTGTGGCAGAGGATGTTTTGGCCCCAGAAAGAGCCCATGCAAGTAGAGATGTGGGACAGTGGGGAAGGACTCCTCGCTGATGGCTGCTGTAGGGTTGAGTCTGTAGGAGCCCCAGCCTGTGAGAGCCTAAACCCTGTGTGCCCCCCACCCTTTGCACCGGGGTAGCAGGAGGAAAAACTGAGGGTGTGAGAATGAGCACGGGCTGTGGGTAGAGGATGGCTTCCTCCACTACTGTAAGTTTTTTACCTACAAGTGCTCAAAATGACAGAGATATGGGCTGTATCCAGTGTGGTCACTACTGGTCTGGTTTGGTTTTTTTTTCCTCTCCTGTGAGGAGAGAAACAGGAGATTCTTTGTACCTATTTTACTTTTCCTTTCATTCTCCAGGTTTTTCTTCCACTTTTGGATTTTCCTTTTTGTTTCCATGTCCGCATTTTCCTCTGCTGTTTCAGCTGCTGTCCTAGCGATGAGTACAGATCTCTCTGGTTGTTGTACTCTACAGTTCCTAGAACTACATTTATTTATATTTGTTCTTGGAACTAAGATGGTAAAAATAGCCTAAAGGCCATGGAAATAGTGAGGGAGGGGAGTATAATGCATTGTGCATTGCTTTCATGGATTGCCAAATGGTGGAAACCCTGTTGATCAGAATTGACTTTTCCCATATCTCAAAGTTAGCTTCAACTCACAAGTTGATCTGGAGGCCTGGGAAAGGACATACTCCATTGAGTAGAGCTGCCACCTTTTGCAAAGAAAAAGAGAAAATCTGGAAGAAGAAGAACGGGAGATGAAGAAGATGAAAATGGGCAGTGGAAGAAAGAAGAAAGATTAATAAAGTGAAGGGGAAAAAAACAACAACAGCAACAAAAACCAAAACACAAAAACCATCAGAGAAAAAGCTGCATGTAATTTAGTGTCCTGACTTGGAATGTGATTGTACCATGTGTGGGAGAGGGGAGTGTAAATGTCTCTAATTGCCCCATGAAGAGGTCTCACTCTGATCTCAAAAAATTGTCTATTTATTCAGTCTCCAAAACAGAGCTCGTATATCCTTTCCAGCCTGGCTTCTTAACAAGATATGTTGTAACAGTGTGAGCCCTATGAACATGCGGTATTTTGGGGGCTGGAATCAGGCTTCTGTACTCCCTCACTTTTCACAGAAGAGCCAAACCTGCAGGATGCAGCTGGAAGGTGCATGAAAGGTGAAATGAGTGGTGAAGAATGATGAAGGGCCTTGCCATCTTCTGCTGTGAACCAAGCTTTGCCAGTAAGGTCTGCGCAACATACTTTGAGCTACTACTGCCCGTTTCCTCGTGGCGGGCTCTGCTGTGGGGTCACTGGTTAGTAGAGGTACAGATAATCCCAAAGTGTAGGGCTGTAGAGATCCCTGCCCCTTCTCCTGGCATGGAGGGCCAGAGAAAAGACTGGTGTTGGCAGTCTCCTGGCCCTAGGATGATGTGATGCTGACTGGTTTTCAGCCCTGCTGCCTAGGGCTATCTAGTCTATAGCAGATTTTTCTGGGGGAGGAATATTTGATGCAATATGAAGCTGCGTCAGGCAGAGAGATTTAACAGGCAAGGTGGTTGATCGCTGCCCAAGCTTGCTCCCAGGCCCTTTATTACTTAGCAAGGGGTATGTGTCTGTAGGAGATCAAAACCTAGGTCATGCTTTTCTACATAACTTTATAATGGAAACAATGCTGTTATGTAGGATGGTGCCCTCAGGTGTTTGCAAACTGCTTGATGTCACTGCTCTGCTGCTTATAGTGTCCCAAAGATGGATTTTGAGGTTTTAAAGTGTTTATCTGAAGCACTAGCAAAGATTATCCAGGGTGTTGCAGTGAAGTAACTTTCTAGGATTCAGTCACAGTAGCTATTGATCCAAATGTCTCATGTGGTCATCCAGGCATGTGTAAGCAAATGGAAGTCTAGACCCATGGGTGTACAGGGAGTGTATGTGCTTTCTCCTCTAGACTATAGTTTTCATTCTGTTTCAGAAATAACCATGACATTTCGACTTCTAAACAGAGCTCCAACTGAAGATGCTCATGATTGTAATTTAGCTGTACCTCTATATCTCTTTCTCCTCTGCTCCCCTTTCATCACCACTTCTGCCTCTGCTGTTTCCCTGGCTTGCTGCTTTTCTACTCTTCCCCCTTCCTCTTTCTGTTCTCTTCTCTGCATCTGTTTTTAATGTTTTTTCCTTCTTCATCAGTCAACATCTTCCCTGGCTCTTTCTTCCCTTGCTTCCTTTCCAGAATCAAAGAACATATTTTTTTACTGTATGTATAGGAAAAAATGTTTAAAATGCTGGTTTGACCCTGAGATCCATCCTCAAAGATTTAAGGGCATTCTTTCAAGAGGTTACAGTTGCAGGCTTTGTATACAAACCCATCTTCCCATCTTTAGATGTGTTCAGCTCTTGCAGCATGCAGAGCTAAAGTTCCAGGAAAACCTTGTGGAAGCTGGGAATTGCTCACTGTAGAATATATGCACTAATTCACATTGTCATGCATCTGTCACTGGGATATTTTAGATTTCTTCGACAAACTGGAGTCTTGCAGCACACTGATATGGTGGCAAATGTTGATAAGCCATTTTTGGACAGAGAAATGAAAACAAGGTTGAACACTGAGGAACCAAGGTCACTTTGACATCTCCAATGCCAGACAGTTGAACTGATTATACTGAATGAATCTTTGCCTGTATGACCAGCAGTGTAACTGCACTGATCTCTCTCAGCTGCTACATTTTTTGCTTTTGGGTCTGGCACACTGTGATATACATGCTGTGCATGACAAGAGCTTAATGGATGAGATGTGTGAAATTTTGACAACCAGCTACTAGACCATGCTTTCTTCTGGGAAATAAAGTAGCTTCAGAAGCAATGTTGCAATAGTAGACTGAATTCTCACTCAACTAAATCTGGTCTAGCTCCACTAGTCAGCTACGAGGTGGCAGTGGTAGTTGCACCAATAGGTTTCCTAAACAGGTAAAATGCTGAGCACAGCTAAACTGATTCATGGTTTACAGGAGACTAACCTTTATGATTCAGAATTGAGCTAATACCCAACAAGGAGAAAAACAACATTTTTTATTGGGGTAAGGAACAGTGGAAGTTTAATACACCCTTGAGCAGAGCTGTAAAAGAAGTGCACAGGTTGATTATGAGGCTCTGTCCCCATTTATTTGTCTCTGTGGTGGTCCTTATAGAGACAATCTCCTCCCCAGTTGCTGGAAGCTGTCAGGATAAACCATTTTACCTTAGACATCTCAGTATGATTGACCTTTCAGTTAGCCCTGTTGGGATAAAAGAGCTTATTTAGTTTGAAACCAGCCATCAGACAGTGCCCCATTTCCTCAGACACAGACCTGGACCCAAAGGTGTGTTCATGGGCTCTAAGCTTGATTACTGCAAAACAGCATAACTAGGAGTCAAACAAAATTCCTTCAAAAGCATCTTCTGATGCAAGTACAGCAACACATCCACCTAGCAAAACGCATCTTTGCCAAGCTCACACCACAGCACCAGTCTTCATGTCTGTTACAAAGTCTGTATAGTAATCAAAGCCTTCCTTGGTCTGAATCTAACTGTTTTAGAAACTGTACTTTGCTTCAAAATTATAGACATCCCTGGTCAAAGCTGTAGATAACCAGAGAGAAGGGATTGCAGGAGACATCTTTGATAAGTGCTGTCCCTGTGCTCCTTCTTGCAAGAGAATTGAGTGGCCATGGACCTCACGATCCTGAACAAAGTGCAAAACACCTGCTGTTGCATGTCTGATTTGATTCAGGGAGTTCTGCACAAGATGTGCTCATGTGCACACAAAATGCACCCCAGTTGTGTCTCCCCCTTCCCTTCTTCCCCCACTTAAGCAGCTAAACAGAAAAGTGAGATAACTTATTTTCCAATCAGTTTTGGGGAAGAAAAACTGGTCATTTCTCTTTTAAATATTTGTAAGACTTTGTGAAATGAAAATTAACAAAGTCATACAAAAGACTTCTTGAACAGGTAGATCCAGCTTTTTAAAAAAAATTTCTGGATTTTGGACTGGCAGAGTTTGTGAACCTCGCTTTATTTACAGTACAGAAAAGAAAGACTCTTGAAAATTAAATCCATACGTATGGTGAAGTAACGCTTTGGAGAAGTAATTAAACATTGCTGCAGTGTTCATTTCTGTTTGCTGAAGGAAAGACTTTATAGCTCTCTCTGAAACAACTTTCTTCCTGCCCCTGCCGTCCTGCAGAGAGGCTGCATCACTCACTGCTGCTTTTTTTTTGCAAGAGCTTCTGCACTCTCTCCCATTTAACTCTCTGCTTTGTCCTCACACCTATTAATTTATCCTAGCTGTGGTGGGAGCTGGCATTTGCGACTTGCCTTCCCCGAAGGAGTTAACGGGGTTTATTACATAATCTATTTAACATTCGGGATGAATAGGAAATGCACGCCCCTCCTCTCCTACAATATGTTTGTGCGCTTTAAATTGCACTCCTCCCCGGCTGCGTGTGAGCCCCACGCTGCTTGACATGCCCTGAGTCTCCGCGTGTGTGTGCTTGGGCGCACGCTAGCCTGCCTGCCCGCCGCTCTGCCCCTTCCCACTCCCTCATGCTACCGGCGGCGTTGCACGCCCACGTGTCTCGCGTGTCCGTGCGTGTGCACGCGTGGGGTGTGCGGGTACGTACACATGAGAGGAGAGGAGCGAGGGGAGGCGAGACGGTCACGTTTGTAGGAAGTGCCAGAAGTCGATGCAAAGTGTGAAAGCAAACTCTGCCATCTCTTGGACTGCTACAAGTGGACAGACCGCCTCGCATAATGCCAACTTTTGATGAGGTTTTGAAGGAAGCTGGGGAATTTGGAAGATTTCAAAAGAGGGTCTTTTTCCTCCTTTGCCAGACGGGCATAACTTTTTCTTTCCTGTTCGCCAGCGTGGTTTTCCTTGGGCAAACACCCGACAACTACTGGTGCAGGATCCCTGGGGCAGCTGAATTAAGTGAACGATGTGGCTGGACACTGGAAGAGGAGCGAAACTTCACGGTACTGCCCCTGCTCCTGGGGAATGCATCCTCCAGTGGGCAATGCGAGAGGCTGGACATCTCATGGGACGGCTCCGTCAGCTGCACCAGCCCGCTCGCCCACTACAGCAATCACAGCGCTGGCAACCTGCCGCTCGCTGCCTGCCACCATAACTGGGTGTATGAACATCCCCACTCCTCCATCGTCAGCGAGGTAAGAAAAATCCCCATCCTCTAATCAGCAGCTTCCGTCCTGGCGTGGGATTGCAGCAGTAAAATGGGAATGCTGCTGCAAGCGTCTTTGCTTTGGTGGCTGGTTTTCCTTTCCGGGTTTGTTTTATTCCAAGTCACAAGCAAATTGGGTCAATGAATGTGATCAAGTGTCAGCTTTTAGGTAAAAGTAAGCTGATCTGAAGGGTGGCTCTCCAAGGCCAAGTACTACATGCAAAGCCAAACACCCCACACAGAGATTACTCTGTTGCTAGAGGGATGTCAGACTAAAATAAAGAGTTAAGTCCTTGCAGCTGAGTCTTCTGGTGCTCAGTTGTGGGTCAGTAACTTTGGTGGTGTAAACTCCAAGTGTAGCTGACCGATACCACTTGATGATCCAGACCACTGTGTGTTATCCATTCTCTGTACTTCCAGTGCTGAACATTTAAGTCTGCAGGTAATAAAAAAAAAAAAAACCCTCATGACAGAATATACTTCTGAGATCTGACAGGAGTCAGCAGAAATGAATGTACTTACTAAAGAAAAAAAATCGAACACATATCTTCGCCCAAAACAATCATTCAGCTTTTCCTGAAATGTCAGTGTCAGAGAACTGCAGAGCACTGGCAAATGTAGTGATTTTTTAACAAGGCTGCAAAAGGCCATTTAAGATGCTTTCCTAGGAGATCCCCTGTGTAATCTGTAATCATGCCATGGATGTGCTGTGATCTGGCTCCAGGACACAGTCTGCACACTAAGAGTGTGTATTTTAAGGTCATCCTGACAGTAACTGTCACCGATGCAGTAATGAAAAATATGAAGCGTGATTAGAGGGGTTGGCTAAGAAATCATCAAGGTGCACCTTGGAATGTGGCAGCACAGCCGTGGGCTCTGGCTGCTGCCTGTCTCATGAGTCTCCCGCTGTGGATTTTAGCTGGGTGTTTGCACTGAAGCTGTGCCCTCTGAAACACGGGGCAGGGCACAGCAGGCAAAGCCCTGAGCAAACACTGAACTGAAAAGTGGTGCCTATCCTAACCTTCCAATTCATCATCCTTCCACCATCCAGCTGGGACCACTGGATCTGCTTGCAGGCTTCAGGCTCTTCAGTGCAGCAGCATTGTGCCCTGAGCACTGCATCTGACCTGAACAGCTTTAGCCAGGATCTATGCTCAGAAGATAAATCAGAGCACTTGGCTGGCCCTAGAGCAGAGGTTCAGAACTGGCTTTTGTGTGTGATTGCCAAAATCGAGGCTGCTCAGAGGGCTGCCAGTGACGCCCAGGGAGCTGGTGCCAAACTTTAGTCCCTGGGAATGACTTCTCTCTCTGTCTGTGCTGGCAGTGGCAGCTGGGGCTGGGTGGGCAGGAGGACAAATGCTGCCCAGGAGCCACAGTCTGCCTCTGGAGCGAACCGCAGGAGGCAGCCGTGGTGGAAAGGTTGTGCTGCTGTTGCTGCGGTATCTCTGCTGGGGGACTGTAAGGGGTTAGGTCATGGTGTCTTTTACCTGGGCAGTCTGTGCTAGCCATTATCCTCAGAGATTAAGAATAAAACCATGGAGACTTCTTTTCTTTTGTTATTCCTTTTTTTTTTTCCCTTCAGCCTTGCTGTAGGTGAAAGCATGTAAGTTGTGTCCATAAGACTGTGCTCAGAGTCCATTTATGGCTGCAGTTTCTGTATCTAGCAAAGCCATTGTGATTTTCCAGTAGTGCTGATCCACTGGGTACAGCTAAGAGAAAATTAAACCAGTGTTTGTGTTGCAGTAATAAATGGGAGTGAAAGGTTCAATGTTCTCTGGCAAACACCTCGTCCATCTGTACCTTCTTCCTTTCTTCTGCTGGGGAGACTCTCTAGGGGCAGGGGAGGGAGGCGGGGTAGAGGGATGCCTGGGGAGGCGCTCCCCACCTGTGCTCCCAAAGGCGCACATTGGGAAAACCAGGGAGTAACAGTCTGCAAGTAGTGACAGGCTGGCACGGTCTGTCCCATGTGCCGGGGCAGCAGGTCCCGTCATCAATGTCATGGCTGCTCCTAGAGGGACTCTTGCTGGCCAGGTGCACCTTGGCTGGAGGGTGCTGAGCTGTGACCTGTGGCACTTGAGCTTTCTTCCCAGTTTTGCAACATTTGCCAGATAAATCACATCCCATGGGGATTGGTTTCTTCATCTATAAAGGAAGCTTGTGGCATGCATGTCCTGGCTCAATTTCTTTGAGATCAGCTATTAAAAGGAGCTTGATATCTTAATGCATTATATGTCCAGCAAAGACAATTTAAATCCCAGATTTAATGTAGTATCCTTTCACTCAGCTGAGGCTCTAACAAATCATGACTGAATTTAATCAGATTTGTGCTCTGTTTAATCAGCTCATCAAAGACGTCTTTTCTCATATGTCTACTGTAAATGCTTCATATTGTCCATGTGTGCAGAAATGTTTCTGTTTCTTTCAACTGTCTTATGATTCCTGGCACTTTATGTCTGGCTGAATCAGCAGTGGAAGTGACGAGGGAGACAAAGTTAAAAGGATGAGTTATATGTCAGTCTGAAGGATGTATATTCAGGGACAAAGAGAGAGAAGTGGAAGACTGAAAGAGTTCTTCCAGGCCTACGGCAAGCGCAGATCTGCTGTGGATTGGCAGTGTGGAAGGAGAGGCAAAGGGCAAATGCAGGCATGTAAAGCCTTTGCTGGGAAAAGATGTCATATCACAGAGTAGGTCCATCAGCCAAACCATAGGTTGTTGCAGTCAGTTCTGATCACCCTAAAGGAGCTAAATCATATGCCTGGAAAGACTGATTTATGAGGAGTTGTGAAATGAATGGTGTTGCAGTACCTGACTTCATTGCTCTGATTTGTGCATGACTAGAGCATGTTGCTCGCTAGTTGCTCTCTCATCTTAGCTATCTTCCACAAGGGTGTTCACAGTAGCATCAGCAGAAGGAATCAGAGGAAAAAGGGAGAATGTGGACTGGTGAAAAACACTTAGTGCTTTGCAAGCAGTACCTGGGGTGCCTGCTGCATCATCTGCTGCTGCAGGACTCCTGAGTCTCAGTGCTGGGGTACATCAGGGTGCTGAGAGAATGTATCAGGGCTTTGCCCCTTCAGTGTTTGAGAAGAGGAAAATCTATTAAGAAATAATCACAGGAGCAAACCATGGCAAAGCCAGTTAGCCTGGTCTAGTGACAGGTGACAGAGCATTGCTAAAGATTCCCTTTCAAAATCTTTGGATGTCTAAAGGACTCTGAGAGGTGGTCCCTACCAGTGACATTCCTAAGGGTCTCTGTGCTCCATTGTTTTAGGTCAGGATTTTCTGTGAGGGCAATCTGGATCACAGGAGTTATCCACTGGTGCTGCACACACAGGCCAGCACCGTGATGTCTGAAATAGAGTCAAGTAAGCCAGAGTTGGGATGATATAAAGGTTTCAAGATATCAGCAAACTCCTCTGCTATGTGTAAAACTTGGCAGCGACCCTTCCAACGTAAGGGTGTCGCAGGAGGTGGAACTGCACAGAGGACCTTGGCCCAGTGCAGTCTGCTCTCCCGTTTAATTGAGTGGGTCTTGCACAGCTCCCTGTGAAACTGGAAGACGTGGCTGCATGCGTCAGCAGCGGGATGGGAACCCAGTGGCTTCTCAGATTTTGCTTGGAGAGGGAGGCTGAGTGGGTAATTATGGAGCTAAATCCATTCCTGGCTCGTGCCAGCTGGTGCCATCTGAAATGGTGCTGGTCGTGGCAGGTGGCTGGCTCTGCTCTGGAGGGAAGGCTGGTGACAGCAGCACCTCTCAGGGGGAGGAGGGCAGGAAAGGGCAGCCTTTCTGCACAGTAGATGGAGGAGGAGGAAGATCAGGGGTGCCGGGGGGCTGTGGTGGACCAGGGGAGCCACAGCCTCCTGCTCTGGCCTGCAGGTCTGGACGGGAGCCCGAGTCACCCCCTGCTCTCCGTAAAAGGAGTAGGAAATATGTTGCCTGCCATCCCCTGCTGGGTGAGCCTTGTGAGGGACACACGTACCCAGGACACATGGAATTTAAAAAACCTAATGTCCCCAGGGAGCTGTGCTGAAGACTGAATTTAATACTGCTGGGGTTTGGCACTGTGTACTTAAGTCCCAGTGGAGAAAGCCTAGCACCCTGCGAAAGGGTGGCTGGTGGTAGTTTGCAATGCGATAGACATTTTATTCAGACATTTTTGGCGAAGATGACTCCTAGAGGCATGTGCATGAATTACAATTGCGTCTGCAGGTCCAGTGGCCTGTAGTGGTGGATGAAAGGAAGAGGGAAGTCAACACAGTCATCAGCAGCTACAGCGCAGCTGGCATATTTAAGCCTATTAGCAGACTTTGTTGGCAGGAGTTCAGCAGAAGGGACCGATTCCAATAGGCCCTGTCTGCAGCAAGACTTCACGCTATAAATTATGTCATTTTGAGACCTGGCAATAATTTATTGCCAAAGTCAGAGGTCTGAAGTGGACAAATGATCATCTGAACATATCCTACTGCACCTGTTGGGAGTAAATCTTCTTACTCCTCTGCTTGCCAGCTGTCTCAGAAAATAAGTCAGCCAGCATTTGCAGAGAAACCTGTAGGCAAAGCAATGTCTGTCTCAAAGTTTTTACAGTCCCTCAGAGCAGGACATAACATGGTAGTCAAGCTCAGGGTGGAGAAAGCATAGCTGGTCCTTTTGCTGTCCTCCTCCAAGACAGTAAACAGTGTGATTCACCCTCAAAGTGTTGATCTAGTGTGATTATCGCCACCGGCATGCCAGTACCCTCTCTTATTTCCACCATCATGGTGGGATTAATATTAAGTAGTGGACCGAAAAGGGAAAAAGGGCAGACAGAAGAGCAGAGGGAGCAGCAATTGCTGAATTTCTTATGAAGGTCTAACTAAGCTTTGCCTATATGAGAGGGGCTGGAGCAGTTCTTTGCATGGGTTACACCCATGGGCCCACATTTCTGTCACTGCCATCGAGCCAGCTGGTACTGGCTGAGGGTTCAGGCCTTGGTTTTCCTGTTCTTTTT